AAATCGATTTAATTTTAATTTTATACAAGTAGGTTTTTTATTTGTGAATATTTAGGAAGTCCTCAGGTTTTTTATATGTGGATGTTTAGAAAAGATCCTAATGGGCAACGTTGGGAAGATACATCTTCTTGTAGCGTGTTCATTTAAACCTCAAAACTAGAGTATACACAAGGAATAGATCACTGCTAGTAACATGAGGAAGTGATGAATGAACAGTGAACTATGGAGTGGGCTATGTTCAGATTCTCTCTGGCAATATCTGTACCGAGGATATCTATGGCAGAATCAGAGTAATCGACATAGCCTTGCGGATCCGTAAGCTGAAGTGACAATTGGAACTGACAATTGACCGGGGGACCGGCCATATAGCTCGATGAAGCGACAACCACGGGAAGAGGATATAGAGGGGCAGTCTGCCGGCCTGGTAAGACACAGGAAGTGGACAGTTTCAGGTGGCTGAAGACCGTGCTTTTTGGCATTACTTGGAGGAGACCTGTGTTCTGCAATGGACTGGATATATATATATATATATATATATATATATATATATATATATATATATATATATATATATATACTAGCTTACCAGGCAGACGTTGTTCTGCCCTTTTCGACGACCCTTTGTCATGTCCTATTAAAAATCCTTAAATTCGCAAAAAAAAAATTGTGGTTCACTCATGAGCAAAAAAAACTTCTTATCTTATCTCTCAAGTTGGACCAAACTGCACACGGTGTGCAAATTTGATGAAAATCGGTTAAGTAGTTTAGGAGTACATCGCGGACAAACAACGGGATACGTAATTTATATATATATATATATATATATATATATATATATATATATATATATATATATATATATATATATATATATATATGACTATTGTGATGTATTTTAAACCGAATAGAAGTTTCTATTATTAATTAAGACCGTATATTAATTACGACCGTTTCTACCGTTATAACCTAGTAAAATCCATTGCTGAACATAAGCCTCCCCCACAGATTGGCTCATAGAGTTGATATTTTATATAGTTGCCACACTTGGCAAGCGGGTTGGCAACCGCAGTTTTGTTATTTTTAGTCGTTATTAAGAAGACGCGGCTATCCATCACCTGGTATGTTTCCCTCTGTCCCCCCTTACGACTTCCACGGGATGATATGGGGTAGTGGATATCTTATCTTACACCGCCACTACTCGGTCAAGACTCGCTCACTTACGGTTAAGACCCTAAATAAATTAATTCAATGTCTTTGATTCAGTTCACTGAACATTTAGCGTCACGCCTGTGATCCCCGAGGGGGAGAGTCCAAAGAGTAGTGAACTACTCGGACGTTTAGCCAAGATATATGGATTTTACCACAATAATGTGGAAGAAGTTTAGCCTATCGTCTCCGCGATCACAAACCCTGAAGAGATCATAAGTCGCCCCACATGAACATGGAAATTATGAGTGCACGGACTCACATGGGACTAAATAAAAAATCAATAATTCTTAAAGTTAAATATTTTGAGAAAATCAATTTTATTGTTCTTGTACAGACGTATTGAATATTGAGTTGTGTTTGTGTATCATATTATTTCTTACCTTATTAGACGTTACTCTATCTGGTAAATTATCCACATATTTTGGTAACTATGCCAGCATTCAAAATGAATTAAGTTTAAGAATATTTGAATATGTAATTCAATTGGATTTAATAGAACATTCCAATTAATTATTACACAACTGTATAAATTAATTCAATGTCGTTGATTCATTTCACTAAATGAATTATTATTGAGAATGTTCGTTAAAATTTTTGAAATATGGAAAACGATGTCGAATTTCAGAACTCTACAGTTGTTTAAATACGCTGAAGCGTGCCATAGCGTGCATTGAAAATATTTTTTGTATAAATGTGTAAGGGATCATGTCTTATCAGATTGTGGAATGAAACAGTCGCATCGGTAATTTTTTCGTGGATGTGTATTAAATTACTAATTATTGTATATTTTTCTTAAGATGAAATGTATACAAAACGAATAATTGTGTTGGATATGAAATTATAGAGTATTATCAAAATACGACATACCCATTATTTATATCCTAAGAAGAAGAAAGAGAAGGTAAACGGCTACTTTTCAATTTCTAACAATGTAGTAACAAGTTACAATTACATATTATATCTTAGATGATTATTTCAAAATATATTAAATATAAAAAAATATAAATTTTGATCTTTCGTATTACATACAGCTATTTATTTGTGAAACCATAGAATTTTGGCATATAAATATCTTCGCTGAGTGAATAAAAATATGCCATCGGTCGTAATGTGATTTTTAATATAATATAAAAATCGTGATCTTTCTCAATTTTGTATTATATAAAATCCAGTGTTATAATATTAGCTTTGTGACTAATACAGTATGATAAAATACATGACGCATCACGTTGGCTAATAAGTTGGTCAACAGTAATAGGAAACTAGTGATTTGTGTTTCCACAGCATTTTAGATCGTCTACATTACTTACGCAAACAGAGTAGTGCAAGTGATGATTTATAAGTAAAATTCAAAATCTGTTAGACTCTGTCCGCGCTGAAAGTTATCGATTCAGTTAAATTTATATTAAATTCTATATTATTCCCGTAGAGTCGTTGATAAAGTTTTTACAGGAAGGCTATTGGCGTTAAAGAAAGTGCTAATTTTTACTAGATTTGATTATGGCTAAAAGTGTCTGTTAATAATAATACGAGATACAAGATTGTATTTTAGAGATTTAAAAGACAAAATAAATACGTGATGTATTAGCCGCATTAATGAACTTTCTTTACACTAACGAAGGTAGCAGCAAGCTTGCGTGTTCATATTGCGTCTGGGTTATCAATATAGTACCGATGGAAAAGAGATCTCCCGTCGAGCAAGGTGCGGGGAGCGGCCATTACTCCATATTGTTATTTGAATTTTATGTATAATGTAGATGTTGTTCGGAAAATGTGCTACTTATATTTTATTCAAGTTATAAACAGTGGTTTACCTATTATATTTAGTTCATCTAGTTATATTCTGCCTTGGAGTCCATCTGGGAAGGTATTGCACTTTTATATATTTGTAATGCCAAGCAGCATTGCATTCAGTTTACCATCTGTTGCTTATTTAAAGATACGCCTTAATGTTGGCGAAATAGAAATCATGGTAAAAATTAAACTGAACAAAAAAATGTCAACTTCAAAGAAATAAAAATAATTAATTAGTTTCGCATTTAAACTCGGGGCTTTAATACTTTTTGTTTAAAGTTTAATTTTTGAATATTTTGTGGGTACTTAAGAATATCACAAGCGTAGGTTAACTACCCCAAATCATTCCGTGGGTGTCGTAAGAGGCGACGAAGGGAAAATGATACAGTCGACGAGCATCTTCCTGAAAACAAATGAAATTAATTAAAAATCTGCGGTTGCCAACCCGCCTGCCAAGCGTGGCAAATATGGCAGAATCTTCTGATACAATCTATGGGGGAGGTCCATGTTCAGCAGTGAACTTTTATAGGCTACAATGGATTTGTGGATGAAGGTAACAATTACTATAATGTTGTCTATATTATATTTACATCAAATACTTCACCCCTATTTTGTCATCCTTAAGTGTGTAATTATTTCCATATTTCAATAAAACCATCCCTGAAACATAAGCTATTTAGTTAAAAAATAGTCATTTTAATCGATTCACAATTGACGAACATACTCGTAAATACAAAATAACAGTCGAATTGACCTCCTTTTTTAAGGTCAGTTAAATGAAATCAAAGTCTTACGGCAAATAAATTAATTATTCTTTACCAGCCTATAACAAACCACTGCTGGATATTGACACGTGGGAGAGCCACGGCTCGACTCGGCTCGACCGGGGAAGGACCACGCTTCACAGAATACCAACGTAAACTAGTAGCTTAATATTGCTGTTTTTCGTATGGGGAGTGTAGAGAACCGGAGACCCTTTTTACTGGTACGAGTCATTCCATCTTAGTCCTCAGGGGTGACAACGCATTAGAGTTTTGAATCTTAATCAAGGATAAATGTAGATGTCTATGGGCCACAGCACCCACTTACCATCAGGTGGACTGTGTCCTCGTTTATTACCCTTATTCTATAAAAAAAAAGAATAGAGATATACATATAAAAAATACATAAACACACCTACTCGCTTTGGTTGCTTGCGATTACGAAGTACACTCGACGCGTCCCGTACGAAAGTTACGAATGTGTGTTGCGACTTGCGACTCATACAACATTTATAGAAGATTTGTGTTCGGAACGGCTTTTTTCCAATCGAATTACGACTGTATATGGCCAGCCTAAGACTGAAAAGGATGTGACCCTTCATATAAAACTTCATTCTTACTTTATGCGGGAAACATGAAGCATTATGCGTTTCTTCTTCAATTTGAAGCGTTATAACTATGTTTTAATAAATATTTAAAAAAGCTAATTAAAGTTATAAATAATAATATTATAATAGGATGATTCATAATTTATTTAAAATATATGCAATTCATCAGGAATTACTTGAATTATGTAAAAAAGTGAAAATTAATTTGCTAAGTACTTCGTGCAAAATGAAATTGCGACTATTATTTTATTTTGAAGGGCACCTTTCTCCCTCCGCTATTGCATGCACTATCCCCACTATCACTGCACCCAAAACCACATGTTTTTATCCTTAGACGAGGCATACCTAATTAAGGGAATAATATTCTGCGATAACGGACCGTCAAATGATTTAGATCTTAGCGATTACTTCATCACATCTTTAATGAAATTCGTATGTTAGCGCCTGCTACGATTCCGGTTTCGTTAAGTGTTGTCAAATGAATGTCCAATAATTTCTATCTTTGTAAGTGATACAAATTAGGCAGAACCTATAAATAATAGTAAAATTTTAACTCTAATGAATTATTGTAACCTTAAAATAGATACTAATAAGACTGATTTTAACTTCACATTTCTTTATTTTTCAGATCGTATCCACAAAAGCGATGCAGAAGATAAAGTTCTTTCAAATGATGAAACACCTCTTCCTACTTGCCCAAGGCAGCCACCGGATGGAGTTGAAACTCCTTCAGATGCAATAGATAAAGCTCCTGATTTACCGTCAAGACTACCGCCACGACTTCCACCTGGCTGGTCTACGACACGTCCCAGATATTCTTACTTATCAAGAATGCAAGATGCTAGAAGTGAAGCAAGTGTTAAAGGATAAAATTGCTATGTTTTCGAATGATCTTGGAGCATCTTCTGACCGCTTGGATAAGTGTGGAACATTACCAGCCAGAAACAAGACAGCGCTAAGAAAAAATACATCGTCTTACTTAAACAGTTTTTCTGATGTATCTTCTTTGGATAGACGTTTAACTAAGTCCCAAGATAACTTAGATGATACGCCTCTATCTTATAAAAGGCATTCTGATAGGCCTGAGGTTCTTGGAGCACTTGAAACGAGTAGTACAGAATTAAAAAGTAGATTTTCGCATACTGAGCTTACAAAAAAACCCTTATTTTATGGAAGCACCACAACTTTACCGTCCTCTATTGAAACATCATTTAGTCGTAGTGTATATCACACTCGAAGTATAAGCGATGATACTAGCAACAAAAATGTGTCTACTCACAAACTGGAACACATTATTGAACAGAGAAAAAAATCTATGTCTAAGCTTCGGGGCTTAGTGATACCTGAAGCACAAACGCCGATTGTTGATCTTCCAGAAATTAAAGTTAAAGATTCGCTCTCCAAGCCATTTATTTTGAAGTCTAACCAAAATAATGTATTGAAAAAGGATAACTTGATAAATTCTAAACCATTATATGTAAATGAGACCAAATGGAAAAATAATTTCTTAACGAATAATATACCCAAATATTCACCTGCTTTTAAAAGAAAATCGTTGCAAGTATACACACCATCGACATTTTCAAAAGAATCAACACCAGAGCCTAAGACAAATGATAAAATAAGCATGCAGCATATAACATATTATAAGCCGAACTTATTCAAATCGGCGAGAAATAGTTTAGATTCCGGTAATTTAACACATTTATCTACAAGAGAATATAATAACATTTTGGGTGACATTCGAGATTATAAAAATGTAGAAATTAAAATATGTACAGCCACTGATATTGTTGACAGTGATAATGAATCAGCAATGAGCTCAACTCAGTCTAGTTATCGATCTTCTGCCTCATCGCCTATGAACCACGTTGATACTATAGAATCTGATAGCTCTCGTCTCTCCCCAAGAATTACACACTATACGTCTTACACACTTGTCAAATCCGATGTTCCTTCTAAATCTTCTAATGTAGAGAAGAATTGTGAGGAATTCTTGAAGCGTAAGGTTTGCCGTTCTGTGTCATCGGATACTAATATATCACTTAGTTCTTCGGCGGGTTCTGCAGCGACATCTGGATCTCAAGCAAGTTGCAGCTCACTTGAAAGCTCTGTTGCTGACTCAGATAAGAAAAAAGTTTCAAGATGTTATAACGTCGATACAATAAATAGGAGAAACATCTTAGCTTCGGCCAAATGCAGGAGCGGCAGAGACGTTAACCTTAAATCACCTGTTGTTGAAACAAAATTTTCTCACGAGTCTTACAACGGATCTCCCAGTCCAGCACAGAAATCGTCTGAACGTCTTTCTACACTCACATCTTCGGTGAGTGCTATAGCGAATAAAGGCGAAAACAGGCGACGTAATAAAGTAATTGCTGAAAGTGATTCTGATACAGATGATGAAACTCTTGCCCGGCAACGAAAATCTGAATATAAAACTTCAAGACTGAAACGAAACTCGAGTACATCTAGTAAAAATAAGCACAATGACAGTAATTTGGAACATTTTAAAATTGAAGATGGGACAAAGCATTTACAAGAAATAAAGAAAACAGACCAAGAAAATTATAAGGATACAAAATCAAATACATTGCCTACATATAAACAGGAAAAAATTAATAATGACCTTTTGCGAAGAAATGAAATGGATAACGTGTTAATTAGTAATGGTGGTTGTGATAGTATTGAGGTTATTGACAATGTTAAACCATCAATTCGTTACGAAAAGCCAATAAATAACATAAACTTAAAAAAAGAAATAGTTAATGATCAGACAGAAATCAGTTCTAACGAAGAACACAAAACTTCAGTTATACGACTTAGGAAAGGAGTTGGTTCAGGCGTAGGCTTAATACTGGCTGGAGGAATTGACTGCGAGGCTAAAGATGTTACGGTAAGTGACCAAAGAAATTTTTATTTCTACTTCTTCATCAATTTAAGGCCCTTTTGGAATCGGGCCTCTCTCTAAATAAGTAGGATTTGCCATAATTGTCACGCTTGGCAGGCGGACTGGCAGTCTAACCAGACGTTTTTTTAGACTACGCTTTCGACTGACGCTGTTTTATCATCATCAGTTAAGGTATTTAATACTGCGTAAACGTGATAATTATACCACCATCAATCGAAAGCCTTGAGAACTCTCTGTCAGTCATTATGGGGATTGAATTTTTATTAGGAATATAAATAATAACCAACTAAAATGTTAATATGAAATCTTTTAATTTTAGGTTCATCGAGTTTTAGCTGATAGTATAGCAGCAAAGGCAGGTCTCAAAAGAGGAGCAAAAGTTAGAAGTATTAATGGCTGCACAATGTCGGGTCTTACGCATGCTCAATCAGTTACTATTCTTAAGGTAAAAGTATCAAACTTACATAATAGCGAAAGTAGTAGTACGAATAACGATAAATGTAAGTAAGTAAAGGTAAGGTATAGGAGCAGTGCGTGTTGTGTAGTAGCAGTGTGCACGGCCGTACCATATATTTCTCGAAGCAATTCAGGCCATTTTTGACCCTCTATAACTTCGTAGAAGATAAAACTAGAAGCCTGAATTTTCAGTTACCGAGTAGACATTGTATAAACATAGTATACTTCAAATTTCATTCAATTTGAACTAGTAGCATAAGAAGTATAATATAATATGTATTACTTGTGAGATACATTGTGTTTCCTTGCGATTGCCAAGTCAATCTTTACATTTAAAACAGATTTTTAACATTGATATGGTCACTATAAAATGTTGTTAGGTTAGCTAATTACGTAATAACTTAAAACAGAAGGACCCTTAAGTAGGGACTGAATAAATTAACCGACTTTGTATCACATGGATCTCACAACTTTTTAAGGTAGAAGTGACTTAGTTGCGAGACTTGGTTTTTTACAAGTTATGTTTTTGATGGCATTAACAATTTTTTAGGCACAGACGGGGCTCGAACCCGAGTTGCTCAGGAACTATTACGGCGAGCACTTAATCCATTTGCTATTCAGGCTTACCGCCAACATTATTAGCTAGAATCAGAGGAAATTCAGCTTTAAATATTAAAAAAATATACCATTATATAATCAACATCATCATTACATTTTCACAAGTCCTGCATCTATCAACTTTCTGGATCTTAGGGTCGTTCTTTGCACCCCATCCCTAAGGGCGGGTTTGCTTCTAGCTGGACGAACCCAACGTTGCTACTAATTCTGTCGCTGATGGTAATGAACGACGTTTGCTCTAGAGTTGGCACCGGTTCTAACGCATGTTTTCCGGTACTCTTACTCGATAGGCGTAATTCCGAGATCATGGCAGACGGCTTTTGTCCACCCTATCCCTAAAAAAAGCGACCGCTCAGATCCGTCTAACTACAGGGCCATCGCCATCACATCCTTGTTCTCCAGAATAATGGAATTTATTATAAATTGTCCGCTCATGCGGTACCTTCAGGATCACCACCTGATTAGTGATTGCCAATACGGTTTTCGTAGGGGTCGATAAGCTGGTATCATCTGGTCGACCTGACTCAAATATAGGTGGAGACAGTAGAGTCCAAGGGGGAGGCTTTGGCCGTTAGTTTGGAGATTGCGAAGGCCTTCGAACGGTTTTGGCACAAAATCTCTTTCTCCCTTCCTATGGGCTTCCCGAGCAATTGTGCAATTGGATCACCAGCTTTTTGGCAGATCGGAGCGTCAAAGTTGTTGTAGACGGTGCAAGCCCCAATTCCAAGTCTATTAATGCTGGTGTTATTAAAAGGCTGGGTGCTATCACCAACGGATGACAACACTGGTGATTCTCTATACACCGGCCGTGCCAATATTTCTCGGGAAATCGTCGTTGAGTACCGGGACAAACTTGTGTGTGAAGTCGAGACTTTGTTGAACAATCTCTCGGGTTGGGGGCGACTAAATCTAGTACAGTTTAATCCACAGAAGTCACAAGTTTGCCCGTTCAGCGCGAGCAGAATAATAACTCCTTTGTCGTATCTCCTCAGTTTTAAGGTACTCCCTTTGTTGCCTCAGCCGGTATCAGAATCCTCGGCGTCGACATATTGAATGAGGTGCATTTTCGTGGTCACTTGGAAGAGATGGTCAAATTAGACTTTAAAAAGCTTGGCGTGCTCAGCAGAGCTGGACAGTATTTTATACCGGCAGACCGCCTGAAACTTTACAATGCGCTGGTTCGGCCTCACGTGAAATACTGTTACCATCTCTGGACTGGGGCTCCACAGTGCCAGTTCCTTCCACTTGATCGCATCCAGCGCAGAGCGGCTCGAATCGTCGATCACCGAGTCCTTTCCTATCGGTTCGATTCACCAGCGCTGCGAAGAGATGTTGCATTTTTTTCGCATCTACCATGGGGAGTGCTCTGAGAAATTGTTCAAATTAATCCCAACCACCAAATTTCATGAACGCACATCGCGGCAAAACTCCCGATACCATCCACATCATCTGAATGCTTGGCGATCCACCACTGTACGTTTCACTGGGAGTTTTCTTCGTCTCTATAGAATAGTTTATCACCGGCGATTTTTCCGAACCGATACGACTTAAGGACCTTCAAGAATACAGCTTACTTCTTTCTAAAAGGCCGGCAACGCACCTGCAATTCCTATGGTGTTGCAGTTGTTCATGGGCGGCGGTAGGCACTTACTACCAGTTGAGCCGTGTGGTCGTTTTCCTCCTCTCTTATATAAAAAAATCTCTTACAAAAGCAAAAGCCTCCTAAGTCTTCACACCAACTAGTGAGAGCCCCTCTCTTCACTTACTGACGTGAAGTTGTCATTCGAGAACTTTTCTTTCAGAACGGTAGTCGGTTCATCGAACTATATGGCCAGCCCATTGCCAATACTTGAGCTTACTGAGGCATTGGGCTATGTCGGTTACTTGGGCTATGTCGGTTACTCTGATTTTACTGCGAATATCCATAAACATGTGCTCCGGCTAGGAAATGAACCTTAGATTGAGACATAAATCAAAGTCCGACGGCCATGCAGTGGTTGACATTATTAAGTTTGCAACATATTGCAACATTACAATATTACAACATTTTGAGCATAATTTTGCCCAAAGAGAAGCAAGCTGAGTCAGTTTGAACGGGAAATGACCGATATCTCACAGAATATCAGCACAACATAATAGTGCATATGCATCTTTCGTGTCTTATTCCTCAAGGGTGAAAAGGTATCAGCGTTTTGTTACATATTCAATGATATTACAGGTGCTATTAGACGATAGTATACACTTACCATCGGGTAGACTATGTGCTTGATTGTCAGCCTTATTTGTGTGAGAAGGGAATGGGATCATATAAAGACGCTTAAACAGTGCCGGATTAACAACGTAGCAAGTGTAGCAATTGCTACGGGCCCCGCGTATCAAAACATCTCATCATCGCCTAAGCGTACTTTTTTCAGTAAAACATATCTAGACGGTATATTTAATTTACTTGACGTCATGTGACGTTATGTAATTACACAACATTCCACGCTTACGTAAGCGTGGAATGTTGCAAATGACAATTGGTAGTCAACTATTTCGTGGGCGAAAATGAAACACAGAATTTCATACGGTAAACGCGCAAGTTTCATCGCCGAACACGCCGGATGGCTCGGTTCTCATACTACTGATCAACCATCTATTTACGGCTTTGCCTTGGAATATGGTTTGACACAACTGGTCACTTTACCCACGCAGATTCCAGATGTGGAGGATCAGACCATAGACATTGGACCTTCTGCTACTTCTCATCCGGACGACTATCAGGTCTCCGTTGATACCCCTCTTGGCTCTTCGGTCCACCACTTGCTCATTACAGGCACGATCTGTAGGCTGCCGCCACTATAGATCGGCGGATTGGGATGTTACGTAAGCTGTTTTTGCATTTTTTGCATTATTTTCTCGCTGGCTGATCCCAAGAAAATTCGTTGCTGAGTCTGTCGCTGATCAAAATATCCATCACTTCAAGCACCACATGGTGCTTGAGGTGATGGATATTTTAATCTCGACGTCCGTAGTGCCTACCGGTGGCAGATCCCGGTATTGGTTTGGACGCTCCTGCAAATTTGCGTCGCGACAAAAGCAGGAGTCTTAAAGGCCTTGTCTGACACATCGCCTTCCCGGTTCAACGTTCCACCATTAGCGCACTCAAAAAGAAATACAACTATGCCTCCAGGTCCTTCAAAAGAGCTAGGACAAAGAATTGGCGAGAAACTAGTTGGCGTTCCTTCGAGACCTGGTGCGTTCTTATCCGATAAGAACGTACGTATCCGTACCGAACGTATCCGTGGGGCAGCTACGGAATTTCTTCATCATTACACATCTTTGCGCAAGAAGAATGACTCACTTGGTAATGCCGCAAATGAGAAAACCGATCTTTTAGGACCTTTTCAGTATCTTTTAAGACTTTTTGCGTCCAATTTGACTCTCGATGACGCGACGGGTGGATTATACGCAGACCATTACGTGCTCCATGCTGGATGTGTTGTTTACACAGCGCACGGTGCGCAAAGCACTCTTGTCCCTGGATGTCCACAAGTCGAGTGGGCCTGATGGAATTCCCCATATTGTGGTGAAGATGTCTGTTACAAAGTCAACATCGGTTCTAACGCGTCCGCTTTTCTTACGCTTTAGGCGTCGCTTCAGGCTCATATACTACATAAGTGCACACGATGCCTAAAAAAATTTACCGCTTGGATCCATCCAACTACAGGTCTATCGCTATCACCTCCTTGTTCTCCAAAGTAATCGAATCCATTATTAACTGCAAGCTCATGCGGTACCTCTAAGTGCATCAGCTGGTTAGTGACCGTCAATACGGTTTCCGTCGAATTTGCTCAGTTGGTGGTCTTTTGTCTACCCGACTTACCGATAACCGTTGGGCGGAGGCAGTCGAGACTAAGGGGGAGGCCATGGTGGTTAGTTTGGACATAGCGAAGGCCTTAGATCGGGTTTAGCACAAAGCGGTTCTATCAAAGTTTCTCTTTTATGGGCTTCCCGAGACTATGCAATTGGGTCACTAATTTTCTTACAGATCAGAGTATTCAGGTCGCAGTCAACGGTGCATGCTCCAACTTCAAACCTGTGAATGCTGGTGGTCCACAAGGTTGCATGCTACCTAATCTGTTGCAAATTAATGATATGTTTGTTTCGTACTAGTCATGTCATATTCATTGTTATTCGGACGACAGCAATGGCGATGCTTTATACAACGGCCCTGTTAATATTTCTTGGGAACACGTCGTTGAGTGTCAGAACAAACATGTCTGAAGTCGAGTCTTTGTTGAAAATAGTCTCGGATTAGGGGTGACTAAAGTTTAATCCCCAAAAGACTCAGGTTTGTCCGTTTACCGCAAAAAATAGCCCCTTTGTCGTTTCTCCTCGATTTTAGGGCACTCCTCATTACTTCTGCCAGCATCGGAATACTTGGCGTGGATATTTCGAGAGACGTACAGTTTTGTAGGCACTTGGAAGGGAAGGCTAAACTGGCAACAAAAAAAAAATGAATAAAACTATTATTTACGGATTTTATCGCGTTTAATTCAATTTTAATTTATTTTTATTATCACGACGTTTCGGGTGCTTTACAGCACCCGTGGTCACGGTGGGGACTAAGATGTTTGACGTCCCAATGTCATAGTTAGTCCGGCTACCTTCAGTTTTTGAATATTAATTTTTGGTCCGATTTACGCAAAATAAGCTTGTAGTATCATGAAGTCTTGCAGTGGTTTGCTTGGGTTTGGGTTTAATTTTGTAAATTATAGGATCCCAAGCAGCTGGCAGCACCCATCCATCTTCTCTATTGAAATTTGGATGTTTTTTAATTTCAATAGCCTCGCGTATCATCCTTGGTAGGAATCGGTGTTCTTTTGCGAGGATTTGTGGTTTATCAAATCTAATGTAATGGTGGGGACGATCTTGAACATGTTCGCAGACTGCAGACTTCGCGGAGCGTCGGTGCTTCACGTCAGCTATATGTTCCTTCATGCGGGTTTTAATAGATCTTTTTGTTTTGATTATGTAAGAGAGACCACATTCACAATCTAGCTTGTACACACCTGCATCTTGTAGAGGAATATTGCATTTGATGGATGGTAAAAATTGACTAATCTTCTTCGGCGGCTTGTAGTATGTTTTAATGGACGCTCGCTTCAAGATGTAGCCAATCTTGTCTGTGACTCCTCTAACATACGGTAGTACAGCAGGTGCGCGCTCGACTGTGGCCGGCTTCACTCGTTCACTGTGACGTAGGCGCGGGACCCGAAGCTTGTTGCCTTGCAATACTTGCTTGACATGCTGAAGCTCGGCAGCCAGATGTTTTCTGTCACAGATCCCTCGTGCTCTCTGAAACAAAGATTTACCCACGGTAGCTAACTGTGAAGGATGATGGTGAGATTCACCATTTAGATATCGGTTGGTATGGGTCTTTTTTCTATACACAGTGTGACCAAAAGTGTTATCAGGATTTCGGATGACTAAAACATCTAGGAAGGCTAAAGAATTATTTGCCTCTAGCTCCATTGTGAATTGTATTTTAGAGTTTATGGAGTTAAGGTGGTCTAAAAATACAGTTACTTTGTCAGATGGTAAAATTGGGAAAGTGTCGTCTACGTACCGCTTGTAGAACCTTGAATTTACAGGAGCAGTAAGAAGGGCTTTCTCCCCAAAGTCCTCCATGAATATGTCGGCGACTATGGGAGACACAGATGAGCCCATCGCCACACCATCTACTTGCTTGTAGAACTCCTCCTTCCACAATAGAAAGCCAGATATGAGGCAGTGTTCAAGTAATATTGCATATTCTTGAGGCATGTTATTTTCTTCTAGCTTCCTAGTTACAATTGAGATGCAGTCAATAATAGGCAGGCATGTAAATAGTGACTGAACATCAAAACTGACCGTAGTTTCATTGTCAGCGAGATGTAGGTCTTTTATCTCACTCACAAAATGGTATGAATCCTTTGTGTGTGCTCTGGTATGTCCTCTCAGTGGTGATAGTATTTTTGCTAGGTATTGTGCCAGCTTATAAGTTGGTAAATCGATCTGGCTCACTATGGGACGTAGTGGAGCGTTTGGTTTGTGTATCTTCGGTAACCCATACAACCTCGGCGGTTTGGTACATGATGGTATTAGCGAATTCAATAAAATCCGTAAATAATAGTTTTATTCAATGTGTAGTGTTCGCGTAAATTTAAGAAATCATTATGGCAACAAAAAAACTTAGAGTGCTCAGTAGATCGAGACGGGATTTCATGCCGGACTACCGCCTGTAGTTCTACAAAGCGCAGATTAAGCCTCATATGGGTTACTGTTCTATTTTCTCTGAGTCGGAGCACCCCAGTATCAGCTTATTAATTTCAATTGCTGAATTCCACCATCGTACATCGTACACTGTGTCAGAACTTGAAATGCCATCCTCATATCTCGATATAATATCGAATATTCTACTTCGAACGAACAAACTGTGGGATTTACTGTCGCCTGCGGTTTTCTGGACTCATACGACAAACTTATATCCATAAAGGAAAGTGAAACATGTTATATTTATCTAAAACAACATGCGAGAAATTTATCAAATTAATTGCACCAAGCAAGCAATACATCAAATGCGTGAAACAGAAATAGTGACAATTACGTGGAATGGAATAATAAAACTTGTAAACGTGAACTAGTGTGTCGCTGCAATCGTCTAATATAGACCTTACTACTGATACACCCTTTAGGAAACGGATATGTCCAAACAATGTCTTAAACAATTTCAGATATTGAAGCAAAAGCCAAAGATCTGACAGGCTGTCATGAATATCAGCAACAAACGTCAAGACGACGCAGGCGAAACACAAAGTACGACCAATTTAGCGGTTCTAATACACTTGACGGATTTGTTGAAACAGAATCACCTGGTAAACAGTTTGAAATTGAAGTGTTTGTTGTCATTATTGATAACTTTTTTGTTTTTTTTTTTGATGAAAACAATTGATAGTGTTTTTGGAACGTTTTAACAATTCATTATATGGCTGAATTAGCAGTAGCTTTCGACATTAGCATCAAAAAATATAGGTTCATTTGCATCAAATTGTCAAGGTAGAAAAAGGTTGACAAATGGGTGCTCCGCGAACTCAATGATCGCCAGCGCAAAGTACGCGTCGAGAAGTGCCGTGCACTGCACAAGAGATACAAAAACGAAGAAATTTTTGAACCGCATTATCATATAAATTTATTACAGCCGAAGAGATTTTGAAAGAAACTCCTATTATGGTCAGTGTTTATGCAAATTGTTCGGAATACAGCATAGACTGCGAATTACTTCCAGAAATTCAATATAAATTCTTAATGGATAATTCATTAGAATCGTGTTTCCCCAATTTAGAAATTGCTTAGTGCATTTATCGTATCTATCATAATCAATAACCACATTGGTGAACGTTCATTTTCGACATTGAACACTATGAGTCAAGAACACCTGAATTATTTCCCTAATTGTTATTGTTTACAGAAATTGATACGGATAGTTATTTCAAAATTTGACTGAAAGTTACTCCTTAGACGTTTAAAAAGTAATAAAAGAAAGAGATAAATAAATATAAAATATATCTATAATTTAAGTACTCCATTAATAGAATAATATAACATTAGTTATTCCTGAAAATATAATATATTTTGTGAAATATATATTAGTGAAAAACATTTACAATTATTTGTTAGTATTGTCAGTTTTATATTGTTCGTTTCGTATCAAAATCATTTTAAATTACCAGGACAATCTCACGTCTGGCTTTTTGTACTTGCCAGAGTCAAACACGGCCTATGGTAAACTACCGTACTACACCAACAAATTTGTAACCCATATATCGTAAACAAACTTATTGAGTATTGAATTTTTTTACCACTTTATACTTAAAAACCTATAGAGATCAAAGGCCCCACGATTAAATTTGCTACGGGCCCCGCGCTTGCTTAATCCGGCACTGCGCATAAGAGCTAACACTATAAAATTCTCGCTTTGCCACTGCACTAAGTTGTGTGTGAAGTGCAGTTGGATAGCTTAAGAGAGTATTAAAAGTTGTGGCCGTGATTGAGGTAAACAAAGAGTAATTAGAAATGATGTTAAAGTCCGAAATCGTTTTTTTTCAGGAGCAACGTTCTGAAGTGGTTATTGAAATAGATAATGAAACTGTACCAAACGACAGTGTAACGGATTGCGGCTCTGAAAATGGTATAACGCAACGTGATGTAATATTTGATTGCGTTTGTAGATTTTATTTACTAATTCATTGTTTTTAAATTTATCAGCGGAGTCGATGGATCGTCAGGAGACAGACGATATAAAACTTAAAGACGATAAAACCGACCGTGATGTTGTGACAGTAATTTTGGAAAAAGCTGGCGGTGGAACTGGGCTCGGTTTCGGTTTGGATGGTGGTCGTGACTCGCCGCAGGGTGACAGACCTCTGACAATTAAGAAGCTATTTGCAGGTTTATATTTTTATATTGGCTATATTTACATTAAAATCCGTTGATCAAATATTGTCAATTTTTTATCATTTTACATTAATATCTATATTAGTTTTAGTAGTAAGCTTTTTTAAAGTAGGATATAATTAATATTTATTTTAGGTGGTGCGGCTGCACAGAGTGGTCGTATTCTAGTCGGCGCTGAATTGCTCTCTGCAGGTGGACAATCTATGGAGACATTTACTCGTACTCAGGCTTGGGCGGCATTGAAATCTTTGCCCGCTGGTCCTGTAGCCTTAGTGCTTCGAAATCCTAAAGGCAATGCTTAAATCTATCTAAGTGTTATTTATACGATCGAAATTTTTCGGCCGTTGTTTGTACAAGTTGATAATAAATATTATAAAATGAGAATGATTGCGTTAAATGCCTTAGGCGTATAATTGTGATGACGTCAGAGATAGATTATTATATTATTAGATCTTGTTAATTATAGAATATAAATAAATATGATAACTGTCAGACAAAAATAACGTTTAAAATGAATAAGTATTAAGACTTGCTGTATGCATTAGTCAGTATTTTTTAGATTTTTGTACATAGAAATTACGCTAACAATGTAACAATTAAAGTTTAAATATATATATATTCCTTAATAAGGCCTTTCTTAAGACTGTTTCCCGTTTTATTTGTTAAATTGTTTTATTTATTGATTCGAATAATTTAATCCTAGTCTGTACAGTAAAAATTTGTGATGTTAACATTTCCTATTTCTAGGCACTGTACTTAAATTTAAATATAAAGTAGTAGACACCAACTATGTTGATCTATTGTTGAGTGCCATCTCGTAACAAATGTCTAGAAAATTATAAAGATTTAAAAAAAAATCAAACACTGGTGTTAACTTACAATAAAGTTGATCATGTGTGTTATTTAAATAAATGAGAAAAGAGCTTACTCCTTTCTAAGGGGCCGGCAACGCACATGCAATTTCTATGTTTTCACTTACCATCCGGTGAGTCGCAGCTTCGTTTGCCCCTGTACTTATTATAAAAATTAAAAAATACCAGTTATTTTTCATTGGCGTACAAACCTTAAAAAGATATCTTATTTATTTGTTTTGTTTAAAACAATTACTTCGTTCGAACATACTGCTTCGAGAAATTTCAAAATCAGTTGTTTTATCCCAGGGTACTTGCCATGAATATTCATGTTATCCTAGCCTTATCTTACCACTATTAATAGAACTAACTTAGTTTATGATATTATATTTTTTGTAAATAGTATTCAACTTTTTAAAAAGTGTGCTCTACAAATTACAATTTAGTTTATTAGTCGTCAGTACTCATTTAAACATTTTTTTTATAAAATCATGCAACTTAAAAGCCAATATTTATATTAAAGAAATTATATTCTTGTAATGTTATTAATAAACATGATCTATTTTTATTGTTTTTTTAGATTGTACGAACTTTTACCCTTAATTATTTAAAAAAAGGAAAGAAAAAGCAAAGTAAATGCCTGCATACAATGGACTGTTTAGTGCGGGCCCTCTCTCATCTGGGAGGAGTTTAGAGTAGAGCGGCACTTAATCAGCACTTAAAATACGGCAATCAATTTTTGGTAGGACAAAACGGAGTCAAACTTGACTTCGATATCGTCAGCTTTTTTCCAGTTTACTGCTAGACACATTTAAAAGTACTTGCCACACATTATTGAGAGATTTGCATGGGCAACTTACATGTAGATTTTGATAAGACAGCCGCACAGTATAAGAAATTTTCTGTCCAAATATATTATACACAGGGTGCACTAAAAGTATCGGGAATAGAATATTTCCACTGTTCCTGTCATATTAAAATCTTTTTAATTGAAAACTCCTTGGTTTTAAAAATCGAATACCATTTATTTATTTAAAAAAAGATTCTCGGTCTCGTCAAACTTGTGTAGTCGTTGAGAAAATGGTATTGACTCGAGAAAATTCAAGAGCGATGATTTATTATGACTTTCGAAGCGGTTTAACACAAAAACAGTGTGTTGACCGGATGATTTCTGCATTTGGTGATGAAGCCCCATCCAAAATCACAATTTATCGCTGGTTTGCTGAATTTCAACGTGGACGTGTCAAGCTCGGTGATGATCCACGAAAACTGCAGTCACCCAAGAAAACGTTGATGCTGTGCGTAAGCTGATTGAAGAAGATCAACATGTGACATACCGCGAAATTCAGGCAACTTTAGAAATTGGCATGAGTCAAATACAAATAATCTTGCATGAACAATTAGGTGTAAAAAAGTTGTCTTCCCGATGGATACCGAATTTGCTCTGTGAAGAGCAAAAAGCGGCTCGCGTTACTTGGCGCGTCAGAACTCCCGAAAGATTCCACGCAGGATCCTCAAATACTGTATACAACATCGTATCAGGTGACGAATCCTGGATATACGCGTACGAACCCGACACAAAAAAATAGTCACGAGTTTGGGTGTTCGAAAATGAGTTAAAGCCAACAAAAATTGTTCGTTCACGGAGTGTTGCAAAAAATGGTGGCACGTTTGTCTCCAAAACCGGCCATGTTACGACTATTCCTCTTGAGGGACAAAGAACGGTATATGCAGAATGGTATGCTAGCATTTGTTTGCCACAGGTCGTTTCTGAACTCCGTAAAGAGAACTGCAATCGCCGCATCATCCTCCATCACGACAATGCGAGTTCTCACACCGCACACAGAACAAAAGACAAGAAAACATAGAATTATTGGACCATCCGCCGTACAGCCTCAAACTAAGCCCTAATGATTTCTATACTTTCCCTAAAATAAAAAATAAAGTGCGTGGACAGAGATTTTCATCACTGTCACCAACATTTGTCGTAAATTAATATTTTCATTCAAAAAGTCCCACGGGGTTTCTTGCTGATCATTCCCAGGCCAAGTGATTTTTCCCAAACCAGTGGTAATAGCTTAAAGAACCTTCGATAACTACTTTGTAATTTATCTAAATAGTTATGTTTAAATAAATAAATTATATTTATATATATATATATATATAAGTAGTTAGTTAGTACCAGTTCTGGCTCACTGAGTCAGAAGTGGTACAACGTTCGTCGACTCACGATCCTAAAAAAAATAGGATGCACTGTTCCGGAGATGTGCAGATCAATTAACTCTTATCTAATTAATATCCGGTGAGGGTCTCCACCGTCATTAGCGCTCCATTGTTCTTATCTATTTATCTATTGTTCATTGAACACCGTCATTATCTATTCTCCTCAGCGTGTGCGTCGGATTATCAGTGCTATTGTTTTATACTCCTTTGTTCCTAACTGCAACGCTAATCTGAATCGTCAATAAAATAAATTACCTAATTTTGTTACAATTTTTATTTACAAAATACAAAATCTTATTATTATCTATAAAATAGGAGCGAAACATCTCATCCACTAAAATATCGTTATAAAATGTGTTCCCTGTAAATATACTCGTAAAACTATACATTCAACATCCTTGAAACTTATATAGCAAATACATTAAGCAATATTCGCCACAAACTGAAGTCTACTCATTCTGAATCCTATCAACATTACAGTTCCATCTTTTACAATTCCTTTTTAAAAACTCTAGATGATATCGTACAGGTGCTAGTCCGTATGAATCAAAATATTGACCGACGTCATTCCTATCGATATATAAAGCTACACAATGTGACCCTGGTTTATCATCTGTACGCAAATTGCGTATTATATACGTTGGTATGTGGGTGTACATGGGCAGTCTATTAGCAGCATAAACATTATTTTCTAGACTGGGGTGAATCTTTTTCAGATGTTGTTGTACATCTAGTGTATCCATGATATTACTGCTATTAGTAGATTATTACAGTACAATCTACTCAATGACTAACATAGTAATGATCAATTATAGTGATTTCTAAATATTAAATTGCATTATTTTGTGTTACACAGAACGTATTTGAGTCATCAATACACTGAACAAGACGCAACACGAAGTAATGCTGAGATAAGCAACAGAATGTGAGATAAGCTCGTTGACGCATAAAGTTACTATCAATTCCACTGCAGAAATTCTTTAGATTAGAATTATTACTTACTGGTACTATATAAGACCAAGCAACTGCAGTCATGGAGTTAGTGTATGGTCGTTTGACCGCAGTGGATCTATCAATACTACATTTGTGTTACTTCAATGCATCAAAGGCCATGGATGTAAGTGTTTACTCTATTGACAAGCTTACTTTTCTTTCTGTTATTTTCTTACGTGTGTATGATTTAATGTTAACAAATTATATTTAAATATTGTGTGTATATTAAGCCGTGGTAGCTCAGATGGTTAGCGCAAGCTGTAAATTTCACTGTACACGCCCGGGTTCGATCCCCGCCGGCACCAATTAAATTGTTAATTGCAATTTTAAGTGTTTATTCTATTGACAAACTTACTTTTCTTTCTGTTATTTTCTTACGTGTGTATGATTTAGTGTTAACAAATTATATTTAAATATTGTGTGTGTATATGATTAAGCCGTGGCTCAGATGGTTAGCGCAAGCTATAAATTTCACAGTACGCGACCCGGGTTCAATCCCCGCCGGCACCAATTAAATTGTTAATTGCAATTTTAAGTGTTTATTCTATTGACAAACTTACTTTTCTTTTTGTTATTTTCTTACATGTGTATGATTTAGTGTTAACAAATTATATTTAAATATTGTGTGTGTATATGATTAAGCCGTGGTTCAGATGGTTAGCGCAAGCTGTAAATTTCACAGTACGCGACCCGGGTTCGATCCCCGCCGGCAGCCTGAGAAAATTTCGAAGGCATGTGAAGTTCGCCAACACGCATTGAGGCAGCGCCGCCGACATTTCCTAACCATGAATACAAAGACAATAGCAGAAAGTGAAAAAGTTAAAAAATACTTTTTTAACAATGACAGTCATTAGTTGATCATTAGTGAATGTGATTCTGTTTACTTAAATTACAGGAAGACAAGAGCAGAAGGAAGAAATGGGATGATGGGAAGTAATGAAGAATGAATTGTTATGTAAAGTTTGTTGGAACAAACATATTTTTAGTCACGTGTAAATACTTTTAACATTTTGGTTCAAAATGACACAAAATGATAAAAAAATATTAGATACATCATCGACATGGACGGACTTTACATTACATATCATTATAAACATTTTCAATGTAGAGAAATGGCTATTCTAGACGTAAAACTATCTGATAAAATGATGCGTTTATCGATCATTATTTGTTTCGGCCAAGTTATCCTTTCAATTATTTGTCGCCAAAAGACAAAAAACTGTTCGTTATTGTGA